GTGTAGGGTGGAGTGACAGAGGGCGGTGGCGTTGTGCGGGGTGTAGGGGAAGGGGGAGGGATCATGCAGAAGCGTGGGCGTCGAAATGGGCGGGAGGAGACATGACACGCCCACATACGTGTTCAAGAATGGGCGTATCCTAAAGAAGATCCCGCTTCCTGATTGGTAAACATTATTTATACATCAGTGATGCCTGCTTTGATTGGTTACACAGGGACGCTCCCATAGGAGGGCACACTGTCGAATAAAACAAGGAAAATGTTGGGACCACTTTAAGGAAAATTGACAGCCGTAGAAATCATGGAGACAGGAAACAAGGGAGTAGATGTTTAAACAGTAAAACTAAATTATGGGAAGCTGCCAGATCGACAGCGAGGGAGCAGACGTAAGAAAATACAAATCTAACCACAAGTACTGCTACTTCTCTCGTATAAAACGCCCCTGATGCTACCCCGACCGTTCCTGCCCTCGGATGCTGTCGTATCCCCTTTGATTATTGCCATAATTTGGCTTCAGCTCTCCCGTTTCGATCACTAATGCCACCATTAAAACTATTATCACCAAACCTTTTGTCACCCAAGTCTCGATTTCCGCCACTCCTTCGGCTGGCTCATGCTCGGCCATCACCGGCACTACCATGTCCAGCCATTCACGGGGAAGCCCTGATCACTAATGCCACTCCAAAATTACAGGTCGTGGGGAGAAGTCAACTAATGCCTCGCCATTCCCCTCACGACCTCTACCACCGCGAAACTCGAAGTTTTGAAAACTCTATTTTGAAACACCTGAAACTTCACTCGACAGGAACTTCGATAGACTCATTGCTACAACAAATCCGGAAGCATGGATTTGAACACAACGAAGCCTCATTCGGTACAATCGTTGTTAAAACAGATTCGAACGCGGATTCGAAAGCACCGAAGAGAGACTTGGGGGTCCGACCCGTTCCTTAACAACGTTCAAGAAGAAGCGCAGGCACACACTTGATTTATGCCCGCACGACCTTAGGGAAAATGGTCCCACGACGACGCCACCCGGCGGAAACATCGAGTGAAATCTAAAGGCACACATTTATCATACAGAGAGCAGGATACCAAGGTAATATAAAATTTAATCGGCAGACTTTCACGAGTAAATGTATTATTAAGCTTAATTATTGAACTTAACATATAATGACGTAAACTAAGGAATGTGACTCCAGGTACAATAAACATACGAGGAGTTATCTGAATCAATATCTCGATGTGAATATCGATGTATGGCTTATTTACACTGTTTTTCTATAATGGAATGCAAAAAACTTATGATATGCTTAATATCAGAAAATGTAATAGACACAATTTGTTACTGCTGCATGTATAGCAATATATAACTAAATATTTTCTTTTGCGGTCTACAGTGATACTGTTGGACTTGGTGTCACTTGTCAGTAGTATATGAATCCGAAGAAGGAAAGAAATGATAGCAGAAAGCGTGTGTTTATATGAAAACTATGGACATTAATGTTAATTACCACTGTCATCTTCATCATTTCATTACTGGCACTTTATTCAGTCGTAACATGAAGTTGATACATTATTTTCAAACAATAGTATATATGCTGATGTTATTCTTCTCAAGTCTTTGCCAATATGTCACTTACGTAAATTGTTGCCAGAGAGTTGTTTTCATAAGGCTGCAGCTGTCTTAGTGAAGGTGGGCGTAAAACAAGCAATTTACATAAAAAGTTCGAAGCATTATCCTTATTACTACTTTAGGTATTTATTCACTCCCCAAGGCCACATCTCCGTCTGATATGCTAATGAGAGTGCAAGAAATGCCTCGAGATGTGGGGACGCCTCTCTCGGAGCCCCAGGCCAGTCCCCAAGCTGATCAACTGTCCTTTCCTGATAACTATGGGCGTCTCGCTCTACCTCCCTTCGCTGATGAAACTGCCTCCAAAAAAATTGCTGCGAGACGGTTTTATTCATTATTCATGATGAGTCCATTCATAAGGGCGTGTTTTCCTTCTCGATGTAACGAGCTTGTGATCTCCAGCGTTCGTCTAGATGGATGACTCTATTACATTCGGGTTTCTTCTTCGGCGGGAGTGGGGGGCGAGGGGAAAGGGTGAGGGGAGGGGGCAGAATATTGTTGTGCGTGGGTGTAGGAGGGAGGTGTCATAGTGCCGTCGGATGATGCCACATTCCTCTTTCTCGGAGATTTATTATCCCGACTTAAGGCCCAAGGCGGAGGTAATCTGGCACGCCGCACTGCTCGTACAGTGCCATGTCACGGATGGTGATAAGATACAGTGCCGGAGAGAGCCACAAGTGAAACATAGGTAGGACTAAGGAGTGAGGAGGGAGGAGCCAGATGAGTGACGCAGACCACGACCCCAAAGTCCGCCTCACGTTCATTGAGAAACCCGAGGGAAGCCCCGCCCACCTCCATTGAGACCCCGCGTCCGAGGGTATAAGACGCTGAGACCCGGCTCGGCCTTCTTAGTAGTACCTGAGTAACCGCGGAGGAAGCGAGTACTTGTTGTGCGCGCCAGGCCTGCCAAGCTACCTGCCATACCCTCATTACCTGTCGCTACCTCTCATTACCTCCCACACGCTTAATTACCTTTTCGTACCGGACTCCACCGCTTGTGACTGTGAGTACTGTGTGACGCTGCTGTGAGCAAGTAACCACCACAGCGCCCTGCGGAAAAACCTGCACACGATGTTGGCCCAGCTCTCTTGTGACTTGTTACTGACGGTGTCGACGCTGGTGCTACTAGCGCCCGAGCACGGCCACACCTCCAGACTCCCGGCGCTCGAGCTCCCGTGGCAGCAGGAGGACCACCAACAGGTCCTCAGCTCGAGCTCGCTCGACCAGATACCTGCCTACAAGATCTTCTATCAGACGGGGGTGAGTATTGCGATAAGATATCTCTATTTCTTTATTCATGTATCTGTGTTATTTAATTATCACTGTACTTGCCAGAGATTGGAGTCCTCCGGCTTCCTTACGGGTGCATGCGAAAGAATACAGCATAATAGGAAAGCATTTAGTGTAATTAAATCTTTTGGTAGTCATTTTTATCGCAGCCTTATACTATGCAGCATGGCGAAACAGGAAAAATCATGCACATCATGAATATTTGCAAAACTATTGTACAGTCCATTATATGCTTAACATTCATATGTATAACCTATTTGCATTGACTATAGAACGCAATAAAGCAGCAACGTGGGCGCTTGCATCACAGGTCCCCAAGCGGAAGTTGCAGTTGTCTATCGTGGTCTATATAATTAGTGTGTCATAGAAACAAGGGGACGTAGTTTGTTTTGGCGCACGTCGCCGCCGTAGCAACTTGGGCACGAAAAACCGTCTTCACTCAGGTTTGCTTCTTGGGACGTGTCATACTGCAGCACGCACTTGAGCTTTGTTGCACTTTGCATTTGCAAAAGACGATGTCAACAATGACTTATCATTCAGGTTGCTCGATAGATGGTCGATCGCCTGTCCCTTCACTGTTCTAATCCTGAGTGTATTGGTTGAGTTGCATAATGTGCGAAGTAGCGAGCTTGCTGTTCTGTTTCTAAATAGGTCGGGGGTTGATGGGGAGGGGGTGGCAAGGAAGGGAGAAGGACGGGGGGGAGGGGGATAAACCTGGTTCTCGCCACTGTGCTGAGTGCGACTCGGAACGTGGGATTGCTGGTGATGCTGGTAATTGTTCGGAAACTTTTGTAGATTGTATTGCGAGGGGATAGGGTTGTGTTTGCTTTGATAATTATGGTTGGTGATGGTGATGTTGCAATAGTTATAAAATGATGACAATAATATTGATAATGACAGTAAACATGGTAATAATAATATCTCTAATAATGCTTGTATTATTAGATTTATAAAAAAAGATAATCATGAAAATAATAATACATTAGCGGTAATACAAATAATGGTAATAGTAATAACAGCATAATTATAACAATATTGATTTCAATATAATGCTGATAATTATTATAATGATATTTATAAAAAAATGATAATAATACCAATAACAAAAATACCCATAATTGCAATATTTATATCATTATAAAGTCTGGACAATGATTTCAATAATAACCAACAATATCGACTTGTCATCACGTGGAATTTTATCACCACATCCAAAATAGTCTTGCAAAATCCATTACCTTCCGAAAGTGTCATTACAAGAATCATAAAAATGGTTATTTGAACACATTGCCGTCATCACTCGTCATCTTATAAAAACGAAGATAAAAATATCGCTTTACAATCCCGGTCTCTCATCTGTCGTGTTCTCCCATACTCTCTTTAAACTGTTAAGATTGCAATAAATTGTGCAACAGTCGTTAAACGTACACGTGGTCGTGCAAACGGCGATGGTCGTTCCGTTTACGCACACACGTACACACACACACACACACACACACACACACACACACACACACACACACACACACACACACACACACACACACACACACACACACACACTCACTCACTCAGTTTTTTTCAGCCGACTCTTTGTCTGTGACTGAGTCCTCCTCTTAACGATGGTATTTTTTTGTGATTTATTATTCCTTGGTATAGCAGGTTCTGATTATGGGGGTTGGAGGGTTGTGTGTGTATATGTACGTGTGTGTGTATATGTACGTGTGTGTGTGTGTGTGTGTGTGTGTGTGTGTGTGTGTGTGTGTGTGTGTGTGTGGGTATGTACGTGTGTGTGTGGGTAGTACGTGTGTGTGGGTATGTACGTGTTGTGTGTGTGTATGTACGTGTTTGTGTGTGTGTACGTGTGTGTGTATACGTGTACGTGTGTGTGTGTCTATGTCTTTGTTAGAGGTCGTGGACCCAACTTTTATCACCTCTATGTCTTTCTCTTGACAAAGGATTTTATAGATTCTCCTTTTTTATTATTTATTGTTCATTCTGTCTCCTTTTTTTTGTTGATTTTTTGGGGCGCCCTGTTTTTTACCTTCTCATTGAGGATAATGGTTTGATATTATTTTATCGACTCATTTACTATTTTATATTGTCATATTTCTTTATTTCTCTCGCTATCTTTTCAAAGGTTTTGCTTTCTTGTTATCTGTCGTTTCTGTTCTCTTTTTTCTTTCTCTTATGTACTTCTTCCTTTATTCTCCTTAGTCGATCATCCATGGTTTCTTGTCTTCTCTCTCTTCTCCCTCACTCTCTCTCTTGCACCTTTCCTTACCCCGCTCCTTCTCACCGCAGGCCGATTTCTCTCTTCATTACTCTCTCTCCTGCACCCCCCTCCCCCTTATCCCTCTCTTTCTTCTCCACTATACTCTCTTTTGCACCTCCTCCCCCACCCCCACTCCGTCGACCATCCTTGGTTTCCCTTCGGTGTTAGACCTACGTTATAAACACGTCCCTCTCCCCTCCTCGATCCTTCCTTATTATACTAAACCACTACAGCCGCAGCCTCCGCCAAGGCCCCTTCAAGCTGCTTATAATCCTCATTGTTGCCGGACTTAAGCCAACCTCCAGCTTACCGCAAGCTTAAGCTTACGGGTATCAACCTAGACTTTTCTTCGGCCGAGAGGTCGGGGGAAATCGGTCCTTATGGACAATAGTCTGAGAGGCGATTTTCTTTTGACGAGATGGACCTTCCAATTTGCCTAACACCTGTTAGTTGGAATACAAGTCCGCAATGGGAGCTCTTTTGTTTAGAGGAATAATAAAAAAGGGAAACGAAACGCGAGACTTCTTTTATATTTCATCAAAGTGTTTTTTTTTTCATCTAAAGAATAATTATCTATCCTTCTCGCTGCCGTCGCTATCTGCATTGCGTGTTCGTCGGCTGAGTAAGGCAAACGAAGATGCAAAGATCGCGTCCTTTCGGCCTCGTGGAGGGAAGAGGTAGGGGCCGGGGCGGAGGGGGAGGGGAGGGGAGGGCGTACAGCGTCCCTGCGTATCACCTTCAGCTCGCCGCTACTAATACCGTAAGCCGATCCTTCCCCTTGTGATTCACTCGAGTAGAAGGCGCAGAACAGCCAGAAATGTTCCTTTGGTCCCATGTTCCGGAAGTGTGTCGCCCAAGCACAGGCGTCTCATCAAAGGCTTTATTTGGCCGTGCGAGGCAAGAACTCTTCGCGCTCGCAATAATCCCTCGAGGGTTGTCGCGGGGATTAAGGATTTAATATGAAGGATTCCGTGTCCGTTTGCGTTGGACTCGAGGGTTTGATTTTCGCGCCCTTCTCGCCGATCACGTAGCCGCCGCGGAAGAGTTGACGAGACGTGACATTCCGGGGGATTTTTTTAGCGGTCGAAAAGTTTATTCCGCGCCCTCAACGCAGCAAGGAGACGACGTATTTAGTAAACAAAACCAAGGCATGTAGATTGCAGAATTGCACGTATGCGTAGAATCGGCGCGATAAAATGCCAGTATACGAGGAGGCGGCGATCGCGGCGGCGGTGGTCAGCGACTCAACGTACAGAGGAAGTGAGCGCCGTCGTCGGGGCAGTAATCACCCACCAGCCTCATTATGCTCATATTTTACAAACTTTTATTTCTTGTATAGAACATTCCTGTCTGTTATTCGTTCTCCTCGAGAGGAAGGAAATCCCAGGGGTCTAACGGCATTTTCCTCCCGGCTTTTCGAATGGCAGCTTCTCCACCTGCGTCATTTTGCGTAATCGCTCTCAAGACGAGGGAAATTATATTATTTTTTCCCCCTTGGACAATAAAAAGGGGAATAAGCTTGAATTTCTCAAGCAGAGAGTAAAAGTACGATTCTCAAGGGTCGCGGGCCTGGGTGCATGGGAAAAAACTGAGCTCGGTTTCACTTGGTTTGTCAAGGGTGGAAAAATGGAGATTCCCCGTAGTTCGCTGGGGTTGGACGCACTGATCGGAAAGAATGGCGGGATATTCGCGTGTGGTAAACAGACCTAGAGGATTTGTCCTTGAACAGGTACATTTCGGTTAATTCGTGGCGCGTTCGGCCGCTCTCTGCAATTCGTCAGAACGTCAAGCTTGAGCGCTGAACGAGTAAAAAGAACGTTGGTCCCGTTACACCTTAAGACTCTAAATTTGGAAATATTTCAATTTAAAACAGTGGTGGTTCTTTCCAGAAGAGACCACATTTTATGATAGTCATGAAATCTCGAATAAATCTGATTAATAAATTCAGCGAGGCATTATATAATTTAGACGACGTAAAAATGTGCTGTTTATGCGAAATAACTTTCGAATACCTTAACAGCAACCTGTACATGTAGTCCATCTAAGAGACGAGCAGAAGCCGCTATAATTAGCTTATGGCGGAAAACACACAACTGACTCTTACCCATCAAGGTCTGCGGAGTCACAGGTATGCCGTTGAATTGGCAGTTGCACAAGAGGTCATGCAATACTGCTGGGAGTCGGTAGTGCGTGAAGGCCTGCCAGAGTGACCTCATGCAGAGCTGCTCATTTTGATTTAAAAAATGGCGTATGTATTTTTTGGGATTTTCTGTTGCTGACATTCTTTTATCTAAACTGTTTTGTCTCGCTCGACACTTATCAGTCTAATGCCCTTCGCAAAGAAACAAATGTGTGATCGTAACTTTTTACGCACAAAGCATCCTATGAGTTGTAATCACCTTTTAATGTGTTCCTAACAATGTTATTCTCGTTTTTTCCCCTCCTTATTCTCCGTCTGTTTTGCTCCTCGAAATTGCACACTGTGACCATACATGCCTCGGCCTCGTCACGTGACCCGAGTAGCGCCAGCATTATAAACATCTTTTATTTTCTCGGTCCGATCCTTTTGCTCGAATGCCATTTCCAAATATTGCTGCCTTTGCATTTGCTCACGTTTCCCCGATGCCGCTGTCTCTTAAAGCTTTGGAATTATAAGGCGTCGCTCCGCGTCATCTCTGGCAGCGACGGCGACCGC